GCTGTACAACAAATTTGTTTCTTTTTCCCTCTAAGCCTTATACAAATTATCTGTCAGGAGTTTCTCAGTGAAACTAAACAAGCTGAAAAACATTAATTTTAATTTCAAGTATTTTATATTTAAATACACCTGATTCAAAGTGTTTTTTAATAAAATCACAGTATTTCTCAGTGCAAAGGTTGCTTAGTGGAACACAGTTTGTACAACTTTTCAGAATTGACACAGTACGTCTCTTCTACTCATATTGCTACAGTATTAGAGCAAACTACAGCATTCATGTTTAGCAGTTATGTTTAGCATCCAAGTACAATTAAAAACAGTAATACATAAAGAATTTATTGTTGTGAAGACATAACGGACAAGTGTATCTGTATAGTGAATACAGTTTATGCATTATGTACACTACTATTGATGATGTGTTTCTAACATCATTGTACAATATCAAAATGCGCCCCAACAAGGAATTACAAAATAGGTGGATCAATATGATTGATATGATTGGTCAACAACTTTTGAGGCTGTTTAGAACTGGGTCAGTCCTCCCCATATAAAGAAGCAGGAACTTTATTGATGTTAAAAATCCAACTAGATATGATATAATACATGATGGTCATGCAATGCAACTGACCTCTGAACAATATTCCAATCACGGTCACTTGAAATCTTGCGAGATATTGCAACTAAGTGATTCAAAGTCAGGGAGTAGGCACAACAGCGGGAACAACCACTATGTAATCGAACATTTTGTGTATGTATGTTTTGGAAGGTTGCAATGTCAAAAAAATGCTTAATAACTTGATTTAAAAAACATATGCGTTATGGTTATAACAATGCAAACCTTGAGGTACTCAGTAAATAATCCCTGTTCATGTTGACTGATTTGTCGTTATAACTAGCCGTGGTTAGGGTTCAACTGTATACCGATGGTGTGTATATAATTGACAATTGAAGCAAAATACCTTCCCGGACACAAAACGCTGTGAAACCATGGCTATCGTTATAACCATTCCTGGAAAGTAAGCTCACTAACTCAGTGTGTATTTACTAAAAAGAACTTTCAAAATTGACGTCATATCCTATGAAATCAGGATACTTTTGACAACAATTTCCCCTTAGTAGAGGCTCATTTTGATGTGACGGTAGTGGGACACATAGTTTTTAATTTCAAGAACATTTTTTTGTATCATTCATCAGCTTAGTAATAGGGTGTACATTGAAATGAACATAATAAACACACCCCATTACTTGTAACACAGCGTAGTAATCCGTATTGACCCAAAATATAACTCCCTCATCTGAGCCGAATTCACCTCTCTTTCCATTTTCTTTACATGCGTGTATTTAGCCACTCTCACAAACTATTTAGGATGTTGTGTGTAACCCCATCTATAAGAATGTCGTTCTCATTTGGTTTAAAACGAGATTTTCCAAATACCAGGAGTCTATAACATACAGAAACACTACAGTTATTGGCAATGACGTAGTAGCGCCATATCACAGCCCCGAACATATTGTACTGTATCACGTCGCAGGAGACGGCGACCCTCTACACGGGAAAAAGGCCACGCTGTCGTGTTGGCTTTGTGCTTTCGTAAGTCAACACACAAATATCACGACCACAACATACATAGAATCGGAACCTAATAATATGATTAATAAATTGTGAACCAACCTTCCGATGCGTTGGGCGAAAGACCTAAGATTTCATAAGACGATAACTTTTCATCCCAAATGTTCTCCATTTTGTTTTGTTATAAAACGCGCCACCAACGTTTCTTTTTTTCACGCATGATGGCGCTTCTTGAAGTTTCAGCATGTGCGCGAAGGACTCTGGGATAGATAATTTGACAATTGTGTGCATCCTGCAGTTTACTGTATTTAATCTCAGTTGGTTGTCTGGGATTTAATATAAATTTTATTGATTAACGTTACAGGAAATATGATGTAAAGGGAGGTAGTCGTCACGCAGTGCATGTGCGATATTTGTGTTGTTAAACATTGATTTCCCACAATACAATGCGCTCTTCTAAAGGAAATCACAAGTATGAGGTATTACCTGGGCCAGACTTGCACTAATTACCGCCGGTGACTCCTTCGATACTTTCCAATCACCTAAAAATACCTAATTAAAGCTTAGTAACGTCTCAGTTTGTACTCGTTGACCAATTTTGCAATCTCCATTTTTTTGAAATAATCATCAAAATGTGACAATTCAAATTACTAGTAAAGTTTAACAAAATTCGATGTGTAAATTTAGTTCCTAAAAAAAAATTAATACATACATACATTATTCACAATAGAACACTTTTCGAGAGATTTTGAAAACTGAAAATAAAATAGTTCCAGAAATTGAAGATGAATAAGTGATAATGTTTCACAACATTTTTACCTACATAGTCAGCTTATTAGTTTAGTTTTATTTAGTTTTACAACATGACCCGATATCTTTATCCTCGGGGTGAAAACAAAGACCAAAAACTCGCAGAAAACGGTACTTTGCGATGGTTGTTGAGAGTCCCCTGAATAGCGTAACAAGATTAGCCCTACGTGTTTAACATATATGAATTTGGTTGTTCATGATTACTTCAAAGTTGAGTTTGTGTTGTTTTCTCGAGTTTTCACCGGCTCCACCGGCGTTCCACAACAGCGCGCACAGAGCCCATAGAAATACGTGGTACAGTGGTGCGCGTCTTAGCAACGTAGAACGTCCGTGACGTAGCTCCGCTCCCGTGGATACTGATAATTTCAACATATGACATATTAAAATTATTAAAGCGGGAAAGTTGTCACCTGCGCATGTGCACAGGTGACAACCCTCCTGCTTTAAATAAGGTGAATCCACAGAACAGGTTTTGATAATAAACTAACAATATTTGTGTTTAATCTTCACCAATTACCAACAATTTAGCCCTGCGTACAGCACTGTGTGTACGGGGACGCGTTCGGTTGATAGATGTCCCCACCATAGCCCTGTGAACTTCCATAGACAAAGTCCGGGACTTTGAAGAATATTACTTTTTTAATGAAATAACATGCTTAGGTGCCAAAAATGATGATTGATTACCAGATAAATCCAGAACTCCCAGTTCGGAGTCCAATTGTGGATGAAATCGGCTCCTTTGCCCTAAAATTAACGCATTCTCTCGCGTGAATGAAATGGCGGCGTTTGGTGGATAATTCCTCCGGTACTTGCGCGTTTACAATTTGTCCGTCTTTGCTAGTCGTTTTTTTAAGACATTTCAGTTTCAGATAACTCTGTAATGGTTGTTACGGATAACTATCGTAATTTCAACCGATTTCGGCTGAGAAACTACTTATTTTTAACTTGCGCACCAATTACAGTGCGCTCCCGGATTTTGTCTATGGAGGTACGCAGGGCTGTGGTGGGGACATCCATCAACCGAACGCGTCCCCGTACACACAGCACTGTACGCAGGGCTACGAACAATTATATTATGTGTATCGATAGTAATACAACAGAACACCTTTTATTCCGTGGTGGATATTCATCCGAAACGTGTCTTATATATGCAACGAATATTACATCTTAGTCTTCAAAAAGCAAGGTCATTTTAGACCTGCAAAAGACATTAAATACCATAGACCATACAATTCTATTTGACGAATTAAAATTACAAACGCATCCCCAATTTTCGAATCTGTGAAACACCACTCCATGATCAAGCTAAAAACATAAAATGTGTTACAATGGTTCTGTTTTTTTGTTATCCTGGCCTTACATTTATGCTCATTTAATTTTGAGAATACCGGATGATCTATCCTCGAGACTGTCACACGCAACGTAATATTACCGTAATTGGTATAGTACAGGTGTGATGGTTCAAATACCAAAATGGCAACAGTAACAGAAAGAGTTCCCTGGCGGCGATGATAACATACGAACACGGATCCAACAGGTGAGGTTTCAGCTGGTACTGGTATTATTATACTCTGCAAACATCCAGTACAATAACGCGGTAAAACTCCACTACTCCAATAACTAGATACTTAAACTCCAATACAATTCAACGAGATCTCCGATCTGAACTCAGTGCTGAACAACTCCCCTATATATACCCCCACTGTCTATAAATAGACCATTACATCAGCATACATAATGAGTCTGGAACTTACTACACATTTCTAGAATGTTCTATTACCTTCTATTGCCTCCTACAGTGTTCTATTACCTATTCAACCAGTTTCTAAAAAAATCTAGAATATTCCACCCAGACACAGTACGGTTCTAGAACATTATCAGTGACACAGA